CTAAAATAATTGGTGGGATCACGTTGCATGATCATATGCTACCCCAATACTTAAGTCCAAATTGAGGCTGTTCTGATTGACTTGTTGACTGACATCAAGTCTAAAGTATTCCCTGCCCAAAGCAAGGGGGCAGATATGAATTGGGACATGTCTACAGTTGGTAGGTGAGCAAGAATTTCTAAATGACTCCTACTGAGCAATATTGATGTGGACATTGAAATCCTCCAGAGAAGCCTAGGACAACCTATCAGGGCTGTGCAAATCTTTCAAAACAGATGTTTCAGGACACATGGTAGATGTATGAAGCACCTCTTTTTGAATTATTAAAATATTTCCAAATAGAGGCTGCTCCTGGATATCTCCACATGCTTGTGCATACATAGCCATTTCATTGTGTACAAGTCTAGAAAAAGATGCAGCTGCTTTAATAAGTTAAATACAGGGGCATCTCATGCTCTCTTGCACATTGCAAAGCACCACCTTCAAAGGATTATACAGACTGCAACCTAATGTCACCTCTAACATTGCTCAAAGTAGTTCTAAGTATTATGCAGCAGGATAGCTGATATAATAACAGATACCAGCAGAATAACTGTTCCAACAATGATATATACTCAGAATTGGCAGAATATTTGAGAGAGCTTCTTGTTAACAAGATGGAATTCTTACAAACCAACAATAATTTGCTCCCAGATTCCAAACCTTGCTCTCCAAATCTAGCCTGCTAACATCACAGAACACTGTGGAGAACTGAGTGAGATGAACTGCTCCCTCTACCTTCAATTAAGTCTCCATTATACATACCAGGTTGGAGTTTCCATTCAGCATTAAATGCTGGATGATAGATGTCTCACCAGCAATTGGCTTGGCATTCAAAAGAGATATCTATAACCTAGATGGCCAACTTCCATAGGAATGTGACTTCCTTAGTTAGACTTTAGGTCAGTGTTTCTCAACCTTGGCAACTTTTAAGATGTGTGGACTTCAACTCCCAGAATTCCCCAGCCA